AAAGATCGTTTATCGTCTCAGTAATTCAAAATTCTGAACTTCTAATCTGTGTACATTTCACTTAATAAGTAGTTTAAGGAATCAATATATCATACTTCCTTATTTGTCATTTCAGACATGTAACGTTAATATATATAATGGACACTTAGTTTATTATTATTTACATGCAGGGCTTCCATTGCTATACCAGTGTTTCTACACTGAATTACCCTGTATAAATAAAATTATTGTATTCTTGTTGCATGCATATTGGCGTCATGTACGGTCAAATTTAATGATCCATTGTTTTTACGCACTTTTGAGGAACATTTGAAAAAGGTAAATTTAGGATCCCGGGCATGGCCGGATTTTGAGGAGAGGTGTGGGGCCTCCTCTGAGAATTTTTGCACCTCTCCTGAAAAGTCATACACCTCCCCTTGGGAAAGTTTCAATGATAGATCAAAGTGAAAATTTGACTTAGGGTCTACACTTCGTAAGAACGTTTTCCTGTAAAATTGAGACAGTGATAGCCATTCATCTCTGTGTAATATAATGAAGGGCACAATTGAATGAGTTATATACAGTCATAATTCATATCAACACTGATACATATGCATGTGTGCACTACATGCATACGTCACGTCGTTGACTTTGGCCCGTTCTAAGCCCTGACTTTCCATGGGGGTCGAGAGCTAAACCACTGCACCACCCCACCTTCCCCCCCCCTAACATTTTTGCCACCTCCCCCACTATTTCCATCAAAATCCGGCCTATCCTTATTTGTAATTTCCTTTGACACCATGTTTACTCATTTACTTTAATAAATCATTTGTAACTTGCACAGCTGCACTTGGAATGGAAAAAAAAAATAAACCTAAAGCGGGTTAAAACCTTATCTTGCATAATAGCAATCAAGGACGCTTCCCATTAACACGGTCAGAACGGTCAAATTGTTGAATGGAACACAAAACGTTTGTGCTTCGGACCTATCTGACCGGAAAATTTAGATAAAATTAGAATGAGATCCATATTTGAGAAACACAGACCAGATCTTTCCAAGATGTTGTGAACTTTTCCACAGTACACGACATTCATCTTACAAGTGTTTGGATTGGTTGGTCAGTGGGACGGTTGTTCGGTCTGTCGGTCAGTGGGACGGTTGTTCGGTCTGTCGGTTGGTTACTTGGTTGGTTGGACAGTGGGATGGTTGGTTGGTCAGCTGGATGGTCAGTATGTCAGTCAGTTGGTAAGTCGGTCGGTAAGTCCAATCAGTTGGTCAAGCAATCATTTGGTTGGTTAGTTAGTCGGTCTTTCAGACAGTAAGTCACAACCCTGGTTCTCTGTGTAACCATATATCTTCCCCAAACGGACTTGTGCACATGCTTCAACAAGATCCTCTTGCTATACAGTTGGACAGCGTGGAATGGTTGATTCTTGACGAGGCAGACAAACTCTTTGAAGAAGAGAAGGATGGTTTTCGAGATCAGGTCAGTAGAAAGATCATCAAATCATGTGAGCAGGTGTGTAGCCAGCTCCAAACGAGTGGGGGTCCAATTGTCCAGCTGACTGAGCCGGGGGGCCCTACCACTGAGGCAAGGTCCCTCAGAAAATGTTTCTATTTTAGGGTCTGCGCAATGCTACATGTATTTCATGTATTTTAGACACATTTTGTGATAACCAGAAAGCCACAGATTTGATCATATTTTATGTCATAGATGAAGGAATTACAAGTTGGTCCTGAAGAGATCGTCGGATTTCACAGAAAAAAATATCCGGATTTCGGATCTGGCGAATAGTTTACACGGATTTGCGGATCTTATTAATTACAGCAGATTGCGGATTTATCTAATATATATTTTGGCTCGGATTGTGGATTTAGCTTGCAATTTAGTTTGGATCCTGGATTGTAACTTCATAGTAGAGCTTCTAGCGGATTCAAATTTAGACAAGATCATTGTCGGATCGCGGATTTTGCTTCAACTAAATTCGGGCGGATCGGCGGATTTGTATACCCCTATTCACCCCCCCCCC